AAGTAAAAATACTTTTAGTCGAAGAAACAGACACACATGGCGCCGAGGAACATGCTGCCATGTCCCTCGGCGCCGAGGGGCATGGCGGCGCCTGAGGCATTTATATTTTCGGCGGCCGCAACCTCGGGAGTAGCGAAACGTGGCCGTCCACGCCGGTGCACCGCAGACGAACTAATGGAGCGGAAAAACGACATTCATGATTTCGCCTCCAGAAATCATAAGTGCTTAGATGCTCTCGAAATTTTTTTTGGAACCAACCATTGCGGTTTTCTTTTCGGACCGCCAGGTGGCTTAGAAATCTCATTCGCTCAAGAAAGCTGCCGAGCGAACCTGCCACTGATTTGGGAGAAGTAGCGGAAAGCGGACGGGATAAGCGGAGACGCTGGCAGGCGATAGCGTCTTCGGCACCTCCTCGAAGCTCGCATTGCTAACGCGGCTCGTAAACCACGTGACCGTGACCGGGCAGTTGGAAACATTCTGAAATTTGGGCACACCGTAAAGTCGCCAATGCGGATCGCAAGCTCGTCTGTTCCATTTGTAGAGGTTGTGGTGACGTCAGAACGACACCGAGCTCTGATTGGCTCTTATTGAAGTATAATGGGTAAACCTCAAAGCAAGCTGCCTTGGGGTCTACCCACTATTCTTCAGTCAGAGCCAATCAGAGCTCGGCGTTGTTCTGACGTCAACACTATTTCTACAAAAGAAGCAGACGAACTTGTGCTCCGCGTAGCTTTGCAGCAAGCGGCATACTGCGTGCACTGCGCCGGTACGGAACGGTTTTAATTTTTAATTTAATGGAAACAAAACTAATTTTTCGGACGGCAATATTATAATAAGCACTGCTTTTTTTGTTTTGTTTAGCGCCGCTCGCCTTCCTTGCCTTCCTTTTTTTAAGAGTTCAGAAACTGGGCAGGTTGCATAACGGTCCATTAGATTACGTGGGCGGCTATGTTCCACAAATGTTTCGTTTCTCCTAAAAAGAAACGGGAGTGATGGAACTGACGATATCGCGTCTGATTGGTTAGAGGCTCAAATGACGAAAGCTCTCTTTTTCGTCATTTGAACCTCGAGCCAATGGGACCCAATATCGTCAGTTGCGACACTTCCGTTTCTTTTTAGGAGAAAGGAAACATTTGTGGAACATAGCCCCCTTGGTCTGGAATTTATTTTTCCTAACGCCGTGAGAAAGTTTTTACAGCGAAGCTGTTTTCTGCTTGGATCTGAAAAAAATTAGTTCATATATGTTAACAAAAAAAGCTATCGTTTAAACGCCGTTCCTTCGTTTCGATTGGTCGTGGTAAGTATAAATAAAAAGAGGGGGCAGCCCGCGCGGGTCAGACTTCCTTCGCAATATTAGATAGTGAGGTCCTGATATCTTGTTATCATCTACGGGCACATACTTATCTCGGCTAGAAGTGCGCTGTGATGAGGCTGAGGGCAGAACGCGCCTATGTAACCTTCTTTTCTTTCACTTCCGCGATGCTGATAAAGAGGCTTGGGTTCAATCAGAAATAAAGACAATTAAACAACGAAGTCGTGTAGGTCTATTCATTGCAATAATATTTAAATCGTACATGTGTCGTACAGTTGTCGTAAAGTTGTCATAAAGATAAACGCTTCGCTGGTTTTCCATCTTCACGTGAAGTGGATGGCCTCTACAGATGTTACAGCGAAGGTGTGCAGGTGGGATTTTTTCGTGTCCGTCGACAGAAAACTCTGCGTGCGCCTTATCACCGTTCGCACACGCCTTATCGTTTATCAGGTGGTTTTAACACTTTTTCTCACTAAGAAAACCATAAAACAAGTGTCAAAAGCATGTGATAGATTATAAGGCTCGCGCGAACGATGATAAGCACGTAGCGCTCCCCGCGTCCGTTTCGCCGTAAAGATTGGGGTTGCATCAGCTGCCGCGGCAAAGGCAGCCGTGCGAAGTCTTTCATATATAAAAACGCTTTAGTACAGCACATTTACTTTTCTTTCGTCAATCATTTGGTATAGACTCTTTTGCTGTTTTCAAACGTGAACTGCGGTTTGTGTCCCAAAATACTTTCGGTCGCACCGTCTTTGCAAGCCTGTTGAGTTTCCTTATGTCACCAGTTCTAGAAAGCATAAATGCTACACGGACAACAAAGTTGGAGATTTAACGAGGGCATTCGGCTGTAAAATATTACACTTTGGAGGGGGCAAGTTGGTTGACAAGAATACTCGAAACATATTAACAAATCTCGTACTCCGTTCTTTCGGCGTTCACCTAGAGAATGGGTGGTGGGTCATTCCATTGCAAACACTTGTGGTTATCCAAAGGATACCAGGGAGTGGTTAGTAGCATCGATGGACAAGCAGGCCCCGATCATCATCATCATCGCATTCGTGCCAGCGGCAGTACTCTCAATCCGCGGTTCTACTGCCCTTTATACAACAGATAGTCTGTACATGGACGGGTATATATATATATATATATATATATATATATATATATATATATATATATATATATATATATATATATATATATATATATATATATATATATATATATATATATATATATATATATATATATATATACAGGGTGCTTTTTTTTTATCCTTGCACTGCTTTCCCGATTGTTATCCCTCGACCGCCTTGTATAGCGTTTAGGAAACCACGCAATTTATTGGATTTTTTAGTCAGTCCAGAAACTCCATGGGACGTAGCTTGGTTCCTTTGAATTACGACTAAACTTGTCTTACCCGTCAAAACTTCCAAACATAAACAATATTCTTAGACGAGACATGAATATTTTACACATGGACACTGCTTTAAACCCTCGACCGCCTTGTATAGCGTTTAGGAGACCACGTAATTTATTGAATTCTTTTAGACAGTCCAGAAACTTGATCGGACGTAGCTTGGTCCCCCTCTTGGTTGCATAAAATACAATAATAGCCAATGCAGTTTATGTGTTGATATAATAATGGCTAACTCTATTCGCTGCACAGCAAATAACTTTAATTGTAAAATTAATGGTACCTCTGACTGTAATTCCGAAAATGCCATGTATTTGATTCCATGTAAAGAATGACTAATTCAATACTTAGGAAAACTAAAACAAGCACAAGAAAACGCATGAATCTAAAGAAAATTACATACGTAATCACGCTGCCGGACCAGTTCCTCGTCACTTAAACTCCACAGGACATAACGGACCTTGTGACTTTAATTATATTATACTTCAGGATGGCTTTCGAACCACTAGAGATCGAAAAAATAAAGAATCCCAATTTATTTACAAATTAAATACTTTAGAACCGAAGGACTTTAACAGTTCGAAAGGGTCATTGCCGTTTTTTTTTTGTTTTTTTTTTCGTTTTTTTTAAGGACATTTAATTGAGATCTTTTAATCGGTGCCGCAATGTGTTTTTTTTTGTCTTGCTTGATCGTTCAATGTGACACGAGCAAACGCTTTTCAAGCGTTTGCTCTTGTGCCCAGATGTACATTATGTGGGTGGCTGATCTTTGCGATAAGTCGAACAATTAATTAATATTCACTAATTAACTTTTTAATTAGTGAAAATCGACATATGGTTCCAAATAGAAACTTGCTGAGCGTCGTCCAAAACCCGTAAATCAGTCATTTGCAGAAAGACTTTCAGCGCGTGAGAAGCGTAGCAGTGTGCTAAAGTTACCACTCGTGGAGCAGGTACAAGGCTAGCGGTTTCGGTAAGGCGCCCGGGCAATTTTTCCGTCTCTTTTCTAGCCCCAGCCTTGTACCTGCTCCATGAGTGGTAGCTTCAGCGCACCACTGTGCTTCTCACGCGCTCAGTCTTTCTAAAAATTACTGATTGAGGGGTTTTGGGCGACGCTCAGCAAGTTTCTAATTCTATTTTCACTAATTAAAATTAAATAACAAATTATAATTAATTAGCCGACTTATCGCAAAGATTAGCCACCCGCATAATGTCCCCCTGGCTGTATAACTCACTTGCACAAACCGCTTAAATGTAACTTTTATGACCTTGTTTAAAAAAATCTGAGAGGCTTAAAAAAAACCATCTCTATCTTCTCTCTTTGTATATATATATATCAGTGTAACTGCGGCTCGATCCCCTGGAAAACAGGTAAAAAGGCCGTTGTCCCGACCTGGTTTCATTAAACGAACGCTACAGAAAACCGCCGACATTCTCTCACATTTTGACGAATAAAACTGCACGCAAAATTGCAATATTGAATCACTTATGTAATTAAAAGTACGACCCTAGAGAGTGCTTGCTCAAGGTCCGTAACCGGTGGTTCGAATAAGTGAGCGCTCAGTCGCGACGGAGTAGAAAGCTGCGCCGAATCCGAAACTTTGCAGCCAGCCGCGGCGACGCGTTCAGGAGCCGACGCACACGAAAGTTCAGGGAGCGGAATACGTCTGACCTAAGATAACTGGAGCGGTAGAAAGATGGCTGCACTGTTTCCGCGTCTCACCCCCGTCCGGATACAAAGAAGCGCCAGTTTAAAGAGAACTTCGCCCATTTCTTTAGCTTAATAAATGGGTAGTTTTTGAATGTCGACGGCTTCCTGATTTCGATATGCTACCTCGTTCCCCTAAACTCAAGAGAATTAATTCTTTTAAAGAAACTTATATTTTGTCCACAACCGAGACCCTCCTACTTTTTCCCGCCTCCTCCGCCATCCGAACATGACGACACCGGCCGAGCGACGGAGTAGAAAGCTGCGCCGAATCCGAAACTTTGCAGCCTGCCGCGGCGACGCGTTCACGAGCCGACGCACGTGAAAGTTCAGGGAGCGGAATACGTCTCACCTAAGATAAGTGGAGCGGTAGGGAGATGGCTGCGCTGTTTCCGCGTCTCACCCCCGTCCGGATACAAAGAAGTGCCAGTTGATGTAACCATTTACTACGTTTTAACAAATCGCCAGTCGCAAAAAAAAAAAAGAAAAAAAAATCATGTTGCTAACATTTTATTGAATCCGGGGTCGGACGAAAATAACCATGAGCCAAAATAAGGACTTACCACGAGCTTGCGACCTGCAGTTCGTAGAAATTTGAGATCACTTTCGACGATATCCGAAGACCGAGGATTCCGAAACTACGCTGACACTTGTTCGCTCGAGCCTTCGCAGGGAGAGAGTCGGAGGGTCGGAGAGCAGCGTGAGAAGTGAATACCCCTCGCAAGTGTGCTCATCTTTATGTTCTGCGCATGGGAAAGGAGCGCAAAATCGGGAGAGGAGGTTAATAGCGACGCCGACTAAGCTCCGCCCTCGCACATGTCAAGTGTGAGGCTTGGGGTCATAGGCGGAAAGTTCTCAATTTCCCAGGGGGGGGGGGGGGGGGGGGGGGGGTTCAGGGCCCAACGAGCCCGTCTTAATCCCCCACATAGGCATACACACACAGACACACACACACACATATATATATATAATTTTTTATTTTTATTTTTTATTTATTATTATTTTTATTTATTTATTTATTATAATTTAATTTTTAATTCGAACAGATTTATTTTAAAAAAATCCGTGAAAGATGATCTGATACGGTTTGTGCAGGTGAGTTTTACGGCCAGGGGGACATATTATAGGGGGCTAATCGTAACGATCAGTTGGCTAATTAATTAATATTCGTTAATTAACTTTTCAATTAATGAAAATAGACATATGGTTCCAATTCAAAACTTGCACAGCGTCATCGAAAACCACTAAATCAGTAATTTTCAGAAAGACTTTGAGCGCGTCAGAAGCGTAGTAGTGCACTAAAGTTACCACTCGTGGAGCAGGAGCAAGGCAGGGGCTGATTAGACACGGAAAAATCGTGGGGCGCCTTATCGCAACCGCTAGCTTTGTACATGCTCCACGAGTGGTAACTTTGGTGCACTACTACGCTTCTCACGCGCTCAAAGTCTTTCTGAAAATGACTGATTTAGTGCTTTTTGATGACGCTGAGCAAGTTTATAATCAGAACCATATGTCTCTTTTCATTAATTAAAAAGTTAATTATCGAATTTTAGTTAATTAGCCAACTGATCGTTACGATCAGTTGGCCGTATAACTCACCTCCACAAGCAGCATAAGTGTAACTTTAACGTTTTTTTTTAAATAAATCTGTTCGAATTAAAAATGAACACCCGGTATATATATATATATATATATATATATATATATGAAGTCGCACTTCTAAACGTTGTTGGAGTTTTAAAGCATTTAGGGAGTCGACGTTTCGGCCTGAGACAGGCCTTCTTCAAGACGGGTCCATATCACAAGAGCGAATGACATTTTAGCGAACGGCGACATTTGAGCGAATGATCGTTTTAGCGAATAACGGGGGCGCGCGTTAACCCATCCGTCGCGCTGCGCTTTACGCCGCTTCGCGGCGACAGTCTGCGGCAACTCATTACAAAAATATGAGCTATCTTGGCCCACCCGAAAACGCCGCTTCGCGGCGTCCGACTATTCGCTAAAGTGTCGTTCGATGAAACGTGGGCGTTTGCTAAAACGTCATTCGATCAAGTGAGTGCCTCCCCTTCAAGACATATCCACGAGCTTGTGACCGGCGGTTCGTACGAATTTGAAATCACTTTCAACGATATCCGAAGACCAAGGATTCCGAAGCTTTGCAGACACTTGTTGGAACGAGCCTTCGCAGGGGGAGAGTTTCGTTTCGAAGTGCGACTTCATTACTTTATTGTCTTCGGCATCCTACGCTATATATACAGGGTGTCACAAAAGAAAATTTACACTGTCTTTTTTACCGCAAAAATAAACTAGGCATCGCCGAACGCTCATTCTCCGCCCAAAGGTAGAGCTAGAGGTCACAACCAGATGCCAAAGTTTCAGCCCGATCCGATAACTTAATCAAAAGTTATAAGTGATTTTCTGAAAATATCAATGGGAAAATGGCGACCGACGGACTTTTCAGACACATGGGGCTCTATGGCACCAGAAACCGGAAACAGGCAAAAATGGGCTCCATTTTCCCATTGAACTTTTCAGAAAATCACTTATAACTTTTGAATAATTTATCGGATCGGGCTGAAACTTTGGCGTCTGGTTGTGACTTCTAGCTGTACTATCGGGGAAAAATGAAATGCGAACAGAGGAGCGCGTGGCTCGCGGTACAGGCTGCGCCGCCTGGAAGTGAGCCTAGGAGCGAGGGTGCGTGGCCTACTTCGATCTGTTCACGCTCCTCGATTGGCGCTCCCCCAGCTTCGGCAGTGCGCCTCTCAGTGCGCTGAAAGCTGTCACCGCTATCTTTGCCTGCTCGGCGAGTGCGGCGAGCTTCTTTGCACCGCATGCGCTGAGCCAGCAAAGATAGCGGTGATAGCTTTCAGCGCACTAAGAGGCGCACTGCTGAAGCTTGGGGAGCGCAGAGGGAGGGGCGTGAACACGTCGGAGTAGGCCACGCACCCTCGCTCCTAGGCTCACTTCCAGGCGGCGCAGCCTGTACCGCGAGCCACGCGCTCCTCTTTTCGCGTTCCATTTTTCCCCGATAGTACCTTTGGGCGGACAATGAGCGTTCGGCGATGCCTAGTTTATTTTTGTGGTAAAAAAGACCGTGTAAATTTTCTTTTGTGACACCCTGTATATATAGATATAGGTATGTATATATAGGGTGTTTTTTTCATTCTTTCAGATTTGTTTTAAAAAAGCCGCGAAAGCTACACTTATGCGGTTTGTGCAGGTGGGTTATACGGCCAGGTGCACATTATGTGGGTGGCTAATCTTTGGGACAAGTCGGCTAATTAATTAAAACTCGTTAATAAACTTTTTAATTAGTGAAAATAGGCATACTGTTCTAATTAAAAACTTGTAGAGCACCATCGAAAACCACGTTCTGTAAAAACGCGTCGAAGTTCTGTGAAAACGGCGTTTTGTAAAAACGCTTCATTTGGACGCGTTTCTAAAGTTTTTCCCGCTCATTTTAATCCAAGCCGCCACCAATTTAATCCCGGGGTCACTCAATTTAATCCAAGCGTCATACAATTTAATCCAAGCGCCACACAATTTAATCCCGGGGTCAGTCAATTTAATCCACAATATATATACGCCCTTATTGTGTTCACTGGTCGTGCCCAGGTAGCACACTTTCTTGGGCCAGCTTGGGCCAATATTGGTGCTTGATTGTAGTAAGCTGGCCCAGCATCGCCCAAGGAATATGATTGTCCGCCAGCCTGGCACTTCATTGTATTTTCTGGCCCAAGGTTTCCATGCTACAGCCAGGGAAGGGCTTCCTTCGCTCGAGCTCGCATTTTCCCGGCCAGGGCCGGCCGATATAGACAGACCACTGCCAGGATGTGCGTTTTCTCGGCTGGAGCTCGCATTTCATAGGGCCAAGAATACCAGTCATATGCCGCTGCTACTCCGACCGGCTGAAAGGATGGCCAAGAAGCTCCACGCCCAGGCTGTCCAATCAGCCCAGCCAGAGATGCCCGACGACCCGCCTGCTAGCGCGGACTAAACAGCTTACGCTGAACTGAATAAAATTAAGTCTCCGGACTGTTTTAAAGTGGTTCCTGTGTATTTTATTAACATAGCTCACATTCTTGAACATGCACATTAATAGCATTTTTGTGAATACTAGCCTGTTCTCAAGAAATATAAAATCTGAGACTTTCATACAAAAATGGTCTATGGTCGTCTATGGAAAATTATATGGCAGGCTATCAACCTTTATAGCCCTCTATGGTTGGCCGTAGAAATCCATAAGGACACCTACAGCCAGCAATAGAAAAATCTATGGCCTTGTGTCTAAAGACAGAGAGCCAATAAATTTTCTTTACACGCCTATAGAAAATCATTTGGCCACAAGTCTAAAGACTGGGAATTGATAAATTGTATTTAACCGTCCATAGAATATTGTATGGCCCAGAGTCTAAATACTGGGAACCAATAAAATTCCTTGAGGCGCCTATAGAAAATTATATGGCCCCGTGCCTAAAGACAGCGAACCAATAAATGTTTTTTCCCGCCTATAGAAAACTTCTTCGCCCCGAGTTTAAAGACTGGAAACCAATAAATTGTCTTTACCCGTCTATAGAAAAATTTATGGCCCCAAGTCTAAAGACGAATAACCAATAAATTTTCTTGCCACGCCTACAGAAAATCACTACCGGCGCTTACTTTTTTTACTAAAAACACTCCACGTTAGAAAATTAAATCAATACTAAATTTCTGTAGTAGTGGTGGCAAAGCATGACCCAAGATATGTTCTCTGCTGTTGCAACGAGTCGTGAAAACCAGTAATATTGTTTATTTGAAAAACCCATTAAAATACTTGTACAAAAATTAAAATGAATTATTTCCCCCAAAAGTGAAAATAACTTACACTGGCGCCGAGCACTGCAATCAAGCAATAGATTGATTGCAATCTTCCGTACCAGTGTACTGCATGTCATCACTGCATTGTCAACGTGATTCGTCAAACTTATTGAAAAGTTAATTAATACATTTTAATTAATTAGCCTAATGATCTACATTTGCTTTTTTCAGGGTTTTGAATTAAGAGATGGGGGATATTTCAAAGAGACAATTCAAATAATGTACCAAGTACGAGCAATATTTGTTTCGCCTCCGTGTTTTTGCGACAAATGATGGGTCACCGGCAAAGTCGGATTCAAAAATTGACTGCCATATATACAGCTAGTGCGAACATAGCGTTTGTAGATCTGCGTTGTTGCTGCTGTGTGGGGAAGTGTTCTGCTTGTGTTGTGTGTGTTCAGAGATGTATGCAAAAATACATAGATTTACATTTTCGCTTACACATTTGATAACTTGGAACAATTGTTTATAAAATTTGAATTTTTGGCGGGCAATTGATAATTTGATCACTGATGTGATTACTTGAGTTACTAGTCCAACTATTGACGAGGCTTAATTGATATGTTGGTTACTCTTTTTAGAGCACAGCTCTTATATAGGCACCCCTTTCCGGCTTGAGCGGCGGCGGCGTCGGCGTAACCACGCGGTCCATGATGGGTAAATTCCCCCGCTAAATTTAGCGGAAAAATTTCCCCACAAAATCTAGCGGAAAATTCTCCCCGCTAAATATAGCGGCCAATTTTCCCCTCTAAATCTCACGGCAAACTTTCCCCGTTATATTGAGCAGAAAATTTTCCTCGCTAAATCTAGCGGAAATTTTTCCAGCTAGATTTAGCGGAAAATTGGCCGCGCTAAGTATAGCGGAAAATTTTCCCCATTAAATCTAGCGGAAAATCTTCCAAGCTAGATTTAGCGGAAAGTTTTTCCCGCTAAATTTAGCGGAAAATTTTCCCCGCTAATTCTAGCGGAAAATTTTCCCCGTTAAATCAAGCGAAAAATGTCCCCCCTTATATTTAGCAGTAAGTAGGGTACGTTGTTGGGCTAGTTGGTTCATCTTAGTAAAACATATAAAATAGCGCAA